TTATGACAAGTGCCTCAATATTCACGGAAATTATGTATAAAAGTAGATTAAGGTACAGGCTTTCGTGTAAAAATAAAGTTATTGCGATATCTTGGCACGTCTTTTTTTTTTAATTCCAAAGCGGTACTGACTTAAAAGCATGCCTCGTATTTGTGTGACAAATGATAGAATTGAAATTTTACGTAGTTCCTTTGGTACTAGTTGAAGATTCAGCTTTAGGTTCTGAATGTATCTTTAATTAATTTGACGCTTTTGTTGAGCATTGTGTGGTAATATTTTGCTCGAACTGTTTACACCAGTAAAGAGAGATAAATTTTATGTGTTTAAGAAAAAATTGCAAATCAAATCGAGTCAAATTTCTCCCATTTTAATTTCGAAATTTTTCGATTCTATAGATGCAGCGTTAGCCTACTTGTCATCCAAGTTTGTTCTGTAATTATTTCTGTCTATTCTAATTCAAAATTTCGACTCTTCACCGAGCAAATGTCAAATAAATTTACCTCATTAAATTTTGCAACTCAATTTAAACACTCCTGTACTCCACTTGCGCAAAATTCCTGGCGATTGCCTCAATTCTTATTCCTCATATATCATTTTTAGGCTGAACCTCCTCTAGGCATGGCACTTGCCGATCGACAAATACGGTGGCGGGATTCCGGCTGACTCCGTGACCCGACTCCAAGATAAGAGCACCGATCCATTTGATTCTCAACGATTGTGTCAAGTCGAGACGATCCAATCGAGAGTTGAAGTAACGAGTCCCCGACTTCCATGCTCCTGCGGAACTGCTAACATCGTTCCGGGCCCGATTTTATTTTGTAATTGAAAAAGTCTTCCGGCCTTTATATGCGAAGGTCATCATTTAAAATTGAAATTATTTGTGTGATTAACCTCTCATGTTATATCATACATGAAGGGATTTTCTAGGCGTGCTGCGTATATCATCTAAATTTTCCTTGGTTCTAAGACTATTTTTAAATTTTAACTCTGTGGTAAATTTTTCATACTAATATAATCTGAATAATCTTACAATTTAATCAAAATTGTAACAGAAATCCATGCTGTCCTACAAGCTAGCATTACACTAATTTTCTATCAGATGCAATCAATTTTCAGTTTGACTTCATCTACGCGGCCATCGAACCTGGCAGTGCAGTGTATCAGATGAGAAGCAAAAGGGCAGCTTTGCAGTCTCTCTTATCCATTGCTATACATGGACCTGTTGGCGCAGACTGGTCCATATTCCAACAGTGCCGCTCTGTCGTTGATTGCTTCCAGAGCATTCCAGGCCTTTACGCCTTGCCAGAAATTCATCGTTCCATCACACTCTTCGGCACGGATCAGGTGTAGCGTCCTGCTGAGAACCTCTAGGTGGTCTCTCGTTCACTAGACGAGGTGTCGCATGATACCATGAGCAGGTGTCATGATCCATCTTCGCTCCTCATTTGCTGTGTTTGTTTTCGATCGACATCAAGTGACCATTTCAGAGAACATGCAGTCGGCAACTGGGATATTGACACTTTTCCTATGCCTCAAGATGAAGCAGTATGAGAGCAGGCATCCAACGGACCCTTTGAGAAAAATTTAGATAAGGAATATTACAGCGAACTCGTATACAGATCTCGAATTCGACTTTGAATGCTCTTCTGAATGGTCAGTGATTGGTGATCAAGCTTCACGCAATCGCACTTATGTTCGAGTCTGCGTATCTGATTTAGAGCTTGTATCACTTTGGCGCAATCTTTTAAGGGACGTGAAATGGTAAAAAAATGTCTTCTCCTTCACTAGTTGTTAAATGATATAATGTTCACCTTAAAAAAAAGAGATTGCATAACAAGCGAAGTGTGTATTTTGTTATTTCATTCCTTGATGTGTTTTTATGCTCTCGTATTTTTTGTCTCAAATAAATTGTTTTCAAAAACTCTCAAAATCATCGAACACATCCGTTACTCTAAATTAAATATTGATTCGTGGATTCAATTTATCCAAAAATATTAATTACAGGAAAAGTAATACATTTTAACTATATATAACCTTAAATGCTAATCTTACAAACATCAGCAGAAAAACATTGTATTTCCAATCTTATTAACTTGCTATCTCTATGGGAGTTGGAACGAAAGTCTTCATTTTAATTTTTGATACGATCCCCTAGCAGAAAATTATGGAACAAACTTATTCATTCACAGAGTTCAAACTGACCACATTCAATGCTAAACAGAAGAATGCGAGGACAAGTGTGATGCTCGCATATAAGTGGAGCGATAATGATTTAAATAACTCTAGTTGCGTTTAATTATAACGAAAAATAATAAACCGATATATTTGTAGGAATGATTGAAAAATTCGAGACGAATTCGATATTAGTTTGATTAGGAGATTTGTAATATCCAATCGTATAGTATTGGGAAAATGTCTTCATGGAAAAATGACCACATTTTATGAAAAAAACGCAAAAAATGACTGACTATCATCTGACCACATCTCAGATATTCATATCAATATTTATTTGGTTCTCTAAGAGATCTCATATTTGGTTCTCTAAGATATTCATATCAAAAAACATTTCCGAGTATTCACTATTCACTGCCACGCTCAGCATAAATTGGCCCTAATTCTTGGCCATTTCTCAGCGATTATTCGGGTATTGCTTGAGTGATGGATGCCTCAATTGAGCAGACATAGTGTGTTGCTTCGTCACCCTCGGCGATATAATCCTGGACGTGAATAGAACTCACGCAGAGCGACCGTCTACAGCGCCTCGACCTGACACCTCGAGCGCGCTTTTTGCATTGCTATTTTGGCCTTTACTTGAGGCTGTTTACAGCCGCACTGTTTCTTTAGAATATAAAAATAGTGGCTGTTTGAAGCTGCACTGCTTCTATAAGGAATTGACAACATTTTTGCTGTTTTGTCCCCACTACACATAAAATATAAAAAAATATGGAGGCCTATTGTCAACGTCTCTGTATCTAAAGTAGAAAAATAATTGAACCAGTTTGTATCCGCAATATTCCTAGAACAAATTAAAATTTGAGGCTGTTTGTGTCAGAACTATTTTCTAAAGCATGTAAAAAAGTAAAGGCTGTTTGTGCCCGCACTATTTCCAAGCATGTAAAAAAGTTGAGGCTGTTTGCGTTGTATTCAGATTTTTCTATATCACTACTTGCATCTGCCGTGTTCTACAATAAAAAATTGCAATGTTGAATAAATTATTCCAATATTATTTTAAATGTAATTCTCCTTTACAGAACTCACACAAACCCGGAAGTCACTTTCAGTAGTCCCTTGACTGATTATTTGCCTGGCGTCAAGTTCCAAGTGTTAACTATAATGATATGGTCACTTGGTCTGGTTAATATAAAAGAAGTATTCACCGCCCTTGCGCCCCATCTTAACTTTATATGATCTTTCTTGACCATTGGGGGTCCATGTACGGAATTTGAAATTCAATTATTATTGTCATGCAATAGTCCTAATCAATTTGGAAAATTGTTTCGGACTGTTTTGCAGAAAAGGGGTGGGTGAAAAAGGTGGAATACGACTTTGAGAACAGAAAGCCAAAATTCTCAACTTCTTATACTTGTTTCCATGGATAGACAAGCTGGAGGGCTTAGTAGCCTATGCGATTAAATGTTCGTAGCCTTAGAAACTGTATGTGCTCTGCCACTGCTCGAACCTGTCTCCACAAAATAAACCCATATTGGCCTTACCTCCACACTTACCCCGGCTCTCCACTAAACCCAACCTAACCTGACCATTTGGGCATTAGCTACGGAAGGTGGAGAGACGGGGTATAAGTGAGGAGGTTGGGCTCTGATGAGTTAATTTTTTTGTGACGTGGGGCATGATAACAGCAAAATATTTGGGCCGCATTTGTTGTGTTTAAAAACTAGAAATAAATCAAGCCAAGCGGACGAATATCTCTTTCTTACTCAAAGCTTAAATTAGAATCACTTTTTTCATCATTGTAAATTTTTTTAGTATATATTCAACAAAATTCATTTATCCCACTCATTTGCACGTGATGTCCCGGTTGCTGAATAAATTTTGTTCAATCTTGCAATGGGATTTCTTTCACTACTCAAATAGTTTCAGAAAACGATGAAAATACTAGACTTTCCATTTTGTTTTATTGATTGCCTTCACCAATTAAATTGAAAGCTTCATTAATCCACTCACCAAAGTTCAACTCTTTGTTTCTATCACTCCTCCGTGCTGCTCTGTTCCATCGTACTGTTCCATCGTACGCGAGCGGCCAGGCAGCGAGGAAGAAATATCAAGAAAAGCCCGGCGTTCTCTTCTCGCAGCATGCATTAACTTCGAACAAAAATCACGTCAGAAAATACTACGACCTGAACCCTGCGTTTCGAGATTGGTCGTCCGTGTCCTCAATGCTATTCCTACGGGACTTGCTCGACGTTGAACTCAAACTCGCGCGATCGCGAACGATCTCCAGCCATGTCGATCCTAAATATTCTCTAAGCTGCTTTGCTGAGGATTTTTTGTGCATGTTTTATTATAGGGGATATTATTTAGAATTATGGATGTTGGTACACTCCAGGAAAGATGCCGCGTGTGTATGTATTCGTGAAAATTCGGCGTGGTTCTGTCCGAAATAAAATGAAATTAAAATGAACTATATACTCATTGTTGTTAATTAATTTTGGACGCTGCCTAATCGATAACAATTTTAGAACAATTTTTAACATGAATCTCATTAATAAAAATGTACGCACATCACCGAATATAGATTATATTCAAATTTTCTCGCCATTTTGTTCATCTTTCAAGATTGAGAATTTTAAAAATAATTTTAGAACTGATCGATGCATATGAACTCAAGAGATTCGAATTAGAAATTTTTAAGCGACACGAACTTGTGCATATTAAATTATATGCTATAAATATTCGTTATTATGTTGCATGGCAAGCCTTAACTATTTACAGTGTTCTCCTTTTAATCTTGAACGTTAAATTAACAATTTTTCATATTTCAGGTCATCGAAGGAATTCCAACAATGTGGGCTTCGGCTCAAGGTGAGCACATTTCTAGAATTTAATTATGTCATGGCTTAACCAAACATATTATATACATAGCTATAGTTTTGTGAATAATATTATCACATAATTGCTTCCGGTTTTGAATAAATTACATTTTTTCTACGTTTTCAGCGATGGTGTACTTGCTTTTGATAAAAAAATTGCTAAAGAGCCTCAATTATGGTGACTCTGAAGCATTAATTTCGACCATAACTATCTCTTTATGACAGTTGTAATGACGGTTAATTACAACTGTCATTCATCGTATTAACGTTAGACGCCGAAATACCTTCTCAGTATTATTCCCAATATATATTAAGATATATTATCTGTTTAATCATTAGCCGTCATGTGCGAGCAACGGTCATTAATTATCAGCTAATGGCTTCTAGACGGTCACTGGTCCAAGGCATTTTTAGGTGCAGGGGTCACTACCCCTACACCAAATATCACCGAATCACAGTCATTGTTATTTAGACAAGAATAACTGTGTTTTAATATTTAATTCCTGACTATCGGTCAGTATATATCATTCAATCTCAAGTCAATGACCACATTATCCTATAAATAGTCGCTGTCTTTCCTGTAAACTGGCATTTTATTTAATCGTATGCCAGTGATCTTTATCCTTCAGTAACTGTCCAATGGCCGATTATATTCGGTCACTTGCACCAGTCATTGTTACTGGCTTTCAAGACTTTATCTCTGACCACTTGCCAATTTATTCGTTCACTAGCTCTCTGCGTTCATAATTGAATAATTTGACTACTGCATTATATTATTTGATCGCTGAACACCTATCTTTTATCAGTCGGCCACTGGTTGTTCATATGACCCAGTTCCTGACCACTGGTCCCAATTGTCCAGCTACAGGCCACTGGCCCCTATTCTCCAAGCAGTCACTGGCCACTGGAAGATATTATCAAATCACTAGCCACTGGCCGCTTTTATGTAGTAACTGGCCATTGGTCCCTATTCTCCAGTCACTGGCCACTGGCCGCTATTGTCCAGCCACTATAGGGACTGTCCATTATAGGCTTTCTGACCGGTCACTCGTCATTGTGTCGGGATTTGGCGCTCGGCCATTGTTGCTGCCCAGACGCGTTCACTCTCTGAAAGACGCCAGCGTTAAAACCTGCCTCACGAGGCTCCATGCGATACCAGAACCTGCCTCATGAGCACTCCATGCGATACCAGAACCTGCCTCACGAGGCTCCATGCGATACCAAAACCTGCCTCACGAGCACGCCATGCGATACCAAAACTTGCCTCATGAGGCTCCATGCGATACCACAACCTGCCTCACGAGGCTCCATGCGATACCAAAACCTGCCTCACGAGGCTCCATGTGATACCAAAACCTGCCTCACGAGGCTCCATGCGATACCAGAACCTGCCTCATGAGCACTCCATGCGATACCAAAATCTGCCTCACGAGGCTCCATGTGATACCAAAACCTGCCTCATGTGCTCCATGTGATACCAAAATCTGCCTCACATGCGCTCCATGCGACTCATTATTAACCTGCCTCACGCGTGCTCCATGTGATATCACATAACCTGGCTGAAGAAAAATTGAAAATTGAAAGTGCTCATGGCTGCACATATGTAATCCTTTTCATATCGTAATTTTCGCCTGTGCGATATAATTTAAGTTAAACTTGAAGTTTGGCATGAATTTTGAAATGATTATTGATTGCAAGTTGTGAGTTTAAGACGTACTTATGAGTAGCCTCGTCTACTACAACCATTTATTCAACACGAAGAAAAAGCTGATATTCTACGGGCGTAAAAATATAGATGACCGAACAGCAATAATAAAAGTATATATAACACGAATAATGATGAGAAATATCATATATTACATGAACATAAATAAAAAATATCAGACGTACCGCGAAAACTGATCATAAATAATCTACAAAACTGACTCTAATTTCAAAACCTACCGTATATAATTCCAGTTGCAAGTAATTTATGTTGTTCCTTCATGCTCATTCGTAATTTTATTAAAACATTCACGATAATAATAATTCATTCTTTAATTTGAAAATTCAAGTTATGTTCTTGTATTTCAGTTGAAATTTTAATCTATTTTATTAGGAAGAGAGCCTCATTTTCTTAACAAATTTCACCACCGAAATTTTACACCGCGCCGATGGGAAGGATCAAGCCACGGGCCTGGAGTCTCTCGCTGTCGTAATTATCCTTATCTTTACCTGGCCCCGGATTCCAAACCGAGATAAGATAAGAAGGACTCGTCTCTAAACACCTCTTCATCTTGATAGCGTCTCCATCTCTATTCAAAACTTCGGCCGCGTTCAAAAATCTCTCAAACAAATTTTCCGGGCAATTGTACTTCAAGGAATATTTATGATTTTTCCAGCACCGATTTTTGTTCTCATTAAGAACGATAATATTTCCGTTCACATCTCTTTATTTTTATATTTTTCAATGACGTTGTTTTTCTATCTTCTATCCCATCTTTATTGTAATGAGTAACAGAATTGTTTCTTTTTCGACCATCACTGTTAATTGTTTAATCAATATTCACTTGATTAAACACTTTTTATTAAACAATTTAATTTAATTAAGGTTTTAATTATAATACAGAAGAGTTTGCATCAGATATTTTTTCCTTTAAATCAACATCTATCGAACTCCTTCAGCTGGTTTCCCCGGAATGGAACATCACCTAACGTAATCTCCCGAGATGCCTTCAAAAATATTCCTTTTGGCGTCCAACTAACTCACGAATTCCACTCTAAGAGAAAAAATAAGAAACTGTTTGCTCGCTGTCCAGTCATGTAGTAATCCGGGTGTGAAGCCATTACGAATAACTGAGGATAAACAAGTTATTATAGTGATTATTCTTATCACTGATCGCTCACCTACGCAGAGCTCGACAAACAAGCCTGTCGAGTCACCACGACAGCTGCATGACTATGCAGATTTCGTTCCACGAGTTTTCTTATCTGAATTATCTCGCAAGAAACTAGAAACGACTGATAACCGAAGAAAATTTATTGAAGATTTTCAGGATACGTCGCAGAAAAGATTCGCTAAGAAATTTCTGGATAGTAACTGTTTTTCAAATCATTACTAATGATCACTTTTTTACTAGTTTATGTTCTTCTTCTGCTGGTTTTCTAGGGCAACCACCAAATTATTCTTATCATTATTGTTAGCGCTGCGAATATCCAGGATGTTACGTGACGAACACACACATATGCAAAAACAATAACTATTTTGAGGAAAATTCTTATATATGGAGATTCTGACATCAAACTAACAGAATTCTATTGTATAGTCATATTAATTATTAATTAACAAGGTATTAATTGGAATACTTTTGTGGTTTACTACCATTTTTGGAACTTTAAGTTTGTTCTACGCGGTGCATGGATATTATTGATGTTCCTGTTTGTAACCGTACTTCAAAATCATCAAAACCGTACTTCACAATTACCATAAAGCATTTAAAAAATTTACTGTACTCAAAGTACCGTATCGAAGTATAAATAAAAAAGTTATTTACATATTTATGCATTTATATTTTTTATTTTATTTTTACTTGAATTGCCTTATACGAAGCCACGCATTAAGACCATCAAAATTACGAACTCTATGGAAATTGAGAGACCGGTAATAAGCCGTACTTCACAATCGTTGATTACATATTACATATTTTACGGTAATAGAAGGAATGCAGTATATATATAGGAGCGTTGAAAAACTATTTCTAACGGACAAACTAGACTGCTAAGGAGCAGTGCTTAACCACCATTCATTGACTTATTAATGATCTTATTTTATTAACCTTAAATTATTCCTCATAATCATTCCTTTATTCTTTCATAAATGATTGTCTTTAGCTACCGTCGACGGCCCTCCCTATAGCTGTATCAGGGAAAGCGATATCGGCGCTCATCGTGGAAGGGATTAAAGCGACGAGCCGCTCTCGAAGTGCCTGATCACCGCTGATTGGGCCTGAATTGACTGATTGGAGCTGCGCCAATTATTGATCGTAACGCAATTTTTGGCTTGGCGGGGATTAAACGCTATGAGGAAGAGACGCTAGGATATGCGCTATTGTGCGCCGGTAATTAGACACTGTAATTCTTAATTGAGGACCTGGAACACTAATTAATTTCAGAGAAATCCGATGGAGCCACGGAGAAATCTGTAGGCCTGATGGAGGTGACCTGTCGTGTGCCATTTATAGTGATGACGATAATCCGGATATTATTGATAATTTAGTATTAATGCCTAAATAGTCTTTCCGGGAATGATAAAATTTACCGTTGAAAGCAATTTTGTATGATTTATAACTTGCCCACAATGAATATTAATCAACGATTCTAAATAATGTCCATTCCAATTAATTTCTTAATAGTTTGTGTTATTCTTTACCATTTTTGTGTCCTTTTTAGCGCATTTTCTCATTTAGGGAAAATAAATGCACTATTGTGCTCGCCATATCCGTCCGTCTGTCTACGTCCGTCCGTGACTTCACGTTTTCGTCGACGAAAAAATGCGCCCTCTGTCACTCACTGCAGTGAGTACTGAATTATATTTTATCGGAGTCTTGACCAAAAGTTCAATTGTGAAGATTTTATCATATTCGCACCCTTGAATGAGGATACGGTTAAAAATTTTTTCAATGAACTTCTGCGATTACGATTCTCTAAAAAATTGTTAATACATTATTTTTTTAACTCCTCGTTGCTGTTGCGCATTAAGCTGGTTCAGATTAATCCCACCATACATCCCACGCTGAAATAACGTTGATTGAACGCTGTTCAACGATATGAACTCGCTAAAAAAGTTGATTCAACGTCAATCACCTGGAAATGCAAAGGTCCGCATACGGCGGTGAAATAACGTAGATAGAACGCCGTTTCAACGAGATAAACGCGTAACAAACGTTATTTCACCGTCATTTGCCAGGAGGTGTTCTGGCTGGCCTGCCTGGGGCGGCCGTGGGCCAGTCAGAG